CAATAATAGTGGGTATATGTCTGTGTGGCCGGTGATAGATGAAAATATAATATTTATTGCCCGTTTTGTGACCCACTTCGATGGATTAATAACTTATCTTGGCTGCTGATTGAGCGAGTTCGTGGACTGCCTGACAGTTTCCTCCCCCTTCCCCTTTTGAAAACCCGAAAACCAAACAGACAAAGCTTTCCCTTTTTCCCGAGCTGTGGAGTTTCCCAGAGTTTTGGGAGCGGACCATGGAGCTTTTCTCGGGCGATGGCGATATTGATTTCCTGCGGCATTAGGCTGACTTATAGCCTGTGGTGTCCAGGGGGTTGTAATGCGTACAACGGTGCGTATGATTGACGAAAGGACCAAGCAGAGTCGTCTACGCAATTTGGATACTCCCCATACACACACACACACACACACACACATAAAGACAGGGAGAAAGTGGCAAAGAAATAACAAGGAACAGACGGCGATGGAGCAACAACAATTGACAACCATCTTGTTTGGCAAATAAACGCGAGCCATTACCACGAAACTAAAATGCTGTCTCAATATTATTATTATTATCATTTCTATGGCCTCCGCCCGCTGTCGCTTTTCCTCCTCGGTTTATGGGCTCCTTGTTATTTTCCTTATTTCCTTACTTTCTTCTTCCTTATTTTCTGCATTTTTTTTTTGTTTTTTTGTGCGCCACTTTTTATGCGACACTCGTGTTTGACTGTCAAATATTTCAACAGTCCGAAAGTGACAGCTGTTAATGGCATTATACATTTGTGTGGTGGCCACGCCCACCAATTGTTTTTTTTTTTTCAGGTGGCGAGTCCATCATCTCCGGCAGGTCCCAAGTATTTTATTTTATTTTATATTATTTTTCTTTTTCTTTTTCTTTCAATCCTCTTTGCAGCCATAACAATTTGCATTTTATGACCCTGCCCGGCTGATTTAAAAACTTTCGAGCGAGTTTCCCATTTTCGAATCGATTGTGCGGGCGTCAGCTGCTAATTTCTTCGATTACGAACTGTTTTATGAGAGGGCCACTCGGCCATTAGGTCAGCTCATCAATCAGCAGCCCATCAATCAATGGCCCACAAAAATAACTGTTCCCTTTTGTGTGGGAGGGTTGAAGGAGGAAAGGGGGATCCCTCAGGAAAATTGGCGGGGGGCATGCAACACTTTTTCGCGAACACAAATACATCTAGTTTTTGGATTTTTCCGCGAAAACTTCAGTTCGGCGATAAATCAATCCTGAACGGCCAATCAATTAGGCGCAAACAATTTTTTTCTTCGGCCATTATTGATGCGTTCATCAAATTTGAAATGGGAGAAGTACACGTGGCTTGACCTTGGCGAGAGGTGAGGTCTGGGACAGTGCGTTTCGTGGGTGTAAGAACAGCAATTCCCAAAGAAATACTATGGAATGACAAACATGATATTTAAATGGTTTTAAAGTATTGTTGCATTTATCAATTAATTTTCTGTAGAATTTAATAGCATTTATTTCCTTTTAAAACTTTGTTTTTCTCTCCGATTATATAAACTTATTAGCACTCCTCAATAATAAACCCCTACTATAAAAGAAATAAATAAACTACAAACTAAATGACTTTTGCTTTATTAGGTGCGGAATTTAATTGAACAAAAAACATTCTAAATGACTCCCTTCCACATCATTAGTCTTCTATCTGTAGCAAATTTAATAATAATGTGATTTACTTTTTGGTTTCTGGGGGACTGTAATATGGAATTCAGTTGCGGGAGGCACTTCCATCGATCCGAGTTCGGTAATAAAATTGTCCCCTTTTTTCGTCCATAAATTAACATTAATTTCGTGCCACAACAATGACCCCTGACCCCTGACCACTGACCCCTTCGCTCCGTTTGTTTGCTTTGTGTGTTCGTGTGTATCGTAAAAACGCAATTATAAAAATTAATGTAATCGATGGCCAGTTGAGATACTAATTGGACTGCAGTCCCCGGCAATTGTTTTCGATAATCCTTTGGGGCGTCCCTTTCTGATCCTCGGCTTAATGGATTAGCTAGTCATTCAACTTTCAGTTGGCTTAATAACCATTTGAATTCAAAAGTCCTTTTTCCATTATGCTGGCCAACTCTTTAAAGGCAGGCAAATGAAATTACTGCCTGATTGGCAAAAGCAAACCAAGGACTAATTGCTTAAATTGAATCAACTGTTCGAGCGTTTTTCTCCTGCCGAGCTCACACTCAATATTAATTAGCAAGTGAACAAAGGACAGCAGGACATGCAGCAGCCACTTGCCGTAAATCCTTTCCAGGACACCAATTGCGCTTAATTGGCAAGCGTACGGGGCATCGTGTGCCCAGTTCTCCACTTGATTTTTAATGGAGTCCTTTGCAAAGGATCCTTTAGTTTTTAATAACTCATAAACTAGTTGCAATGTAGATAATTTTAATTCAGCATCTCAATTGCTTGAATCTTGAGTATCTTTTTAAAGATTTATAATTGAAAGTAAAAGGAAAGTCTGACAGAGAAAATGATTTATAAATTCTATTATGCTATCCATGCTATAAATCCTATATTCTCTGTGTTCTCATATTATTATCTAATGAGTTAGGATACCACCTAAGTTATATGTTCATAAACCCTTATATTTGTTTAAATTGAAAAGGTAAGTTTGTAAATCTTCAAACTGTAATGCTCTTCAACTTTAACCTCGAGTGCTTAGATACTCAAGTGCAGCCATTCAATTGGCTTTGAATGTCGCCCGTCTGGCAACAAGTTTAATCAATAAATTTTGCATTTCAATGCGAGCAAAGTTTTTCGCTGGCCATCGCGAAGGAAAACTTGTTGCACCAGCAGCTGGGAAATGCGGTGGAAGGCGGTGGAAAATGGGAAGTGGCCGGTGTTGTTGCTGCAACACAGTATTAAACTCGATTCGCATTTCATTCATAACACAGCGACAAAGAGAGAGTGGGAAAAGTCAGCACTCATTCATTTTCCGACTGTCACACAGATACTCACATTTACCAGCGAACAAACACACACAGACACACAGGCACACACAGGCACACACATACAAACAGACCCGCAAGCAGACAGTGCACTTTCATTCATTAAAAGCCATTTGGGGGGCGGCAAGGACTAGAAGGGGCGTGGCACCTTGTGCGGCTGCCAAAAAGGCAAACTCCTCTGGCATTCAATTGCCAAACGCTCGGAAAATTCTCGGAAAATTGAGCAGCTATCTCTCTTGAATTCCGCACAAAAGTACAATGTAAACAGATACTAAAATTATTATGCCAGCCATTTAACACTGAAGAGAAAACTAAATATTCTTCAGAATGCGAAAATAACATTTAGTTAGTCTTATAAAAAGCTGATGTCAACAGAAAATAAAAAATAAAAAATTGAGAAATGATAGTTCTTGGAAAAATGTGAATTGGACGAACTAAATAACAAATGAAGCATTTTCTTCAATAAAAAATTTTTTCTCGGTCCTGTTTAAAAAATGTAAAAGTAAGAGCTTTTTAGGAAAAATGCCTAGATTTTCTAGGAATTTTCTACATTTGCAAAAATTGGGCTTTAAATCACAGGAAAAATCCTAATTAAGTTGGTATGGAAACAGTCCTTAAAACATTTTAATAATTTAACATAAGTTAAATTTGTTGTCTTTGGTAAATTCTTGGTGTTCAACGCCCTTTATTTGATTGCCTAAAGTTTGTGCCAGAAAAGTAGGCTACACAACATTAAACCTTCTATGATTATTTCTTGTTAAGGATATTCAACTTGGCACAAAAATGGTTGGTTTCTTTTTTTTTTTTAATTCAAAACATGAAGATATTAAGTAATTTTGAAATATATTTAAAAGTCAAAGACTTGCCAAGCAAATCCCTCATTTTTTTGTTGGGAAAGAACCACTTATAATTTGGCTGTCTGAACTTGGCATTAGAAGCCATTGGCCCTCGCACACTTTCACATGCAACAAGTAAGAGTTGGCGAAGAGCCCTCAAGGTTTAATGTCCTGTGAGTGTGTATATATTTTTTGCAGATTCCCCAGATAAGCTCTGATAAGGATTATATATAGTATACAGACCGCTGCGGCTGCGATTGCTGCTGCTGCTGGCGCTGCTGCTCGACGGCTGCCGACGGCCACTGCGCAGCGGAGCGGCGACGTTGGCGGTACCGCCGCTGGCGCTGCCGACGCCGACGCCACTGCCGCTGCCACCGCCGCCGCTGCCGCTGCCGACATCGACGTACTCGGCCACGTCGCTGCTGTTTTGTTGTTCTTGTTGTTTTTCTTTTCCTTTTTTTATTGTTGTTGTTGTTGTTGTTTTTGCGGACTGCGAGAATGCCAACGGTGTGTGTTGCACCTGCAGCAGGCCAACAATCGAAAGTGTTCGCACGCTCAAACACACACAGACACAAACACAGAGAGGCACGAAAAAAAAAACGGTAAAAAAGGACGAGAGGATGTGAAAAATATACACACACACCCGCTGGCAGCCAAGGCACACGGATACACGGATACACGGACACGCACACGCACACTCAGCCACTTATGCGCAATGGCGAGTTTCGCGATAGTTCGCCAAAATTCGCATAGTTATTGTTTTTGTTGTTATTTGCCGCGCTACTGGCCGCTTGTTTACTGTTCGCATTCACTTCCTTCGCATCCTGTGATTCGATTTCAATAGTTTTTATTCGATTCGCCGGCTGCCGTGGCTGCGATGCTCTCTGGCTGACTGCTGCGGCTTTTGTGGCACGTCTGCGACTTCAACACCAACTGAGTGGCAGCCGTCGAGCGGAGGACGCGAAGTTTTGCGTCGAGTGGGCAGCTCCTTGCCAGCGAACAGCTGTCCTGGCGCCAAACAGCTGTTCGCAGCTTTGGCCCCAACAACCACAGGACATCGCCAAAAGCTCCCCAAGTTGGCAGGGCAAACTTGTTGAGAAAACTTTCCCCGAAAGCTCTGCTCTCGGTTGGCAGGACCTCTCGGGTGCGTGGAAATTCAAAAAAGGAAATGCAAAAAGGACTCACCTGTCTGTGTGCTGGAGTCGAAGAAAGTACTGGTTGTCTCCACGGTCATCGTCCCGATGGTTCCGTCGATTATCTGCGCCGAGGAGTCGCGCCGGCCTCGATATCTAGGGAAAAAGGATCGTTAGGATTATTGGAAAAACATATGTATTATTCAATTCGAATTGCCTTTTAAATTGTTCTTATTTTTTCATTTTTTTTCGGCTAAACAAAAGCTGCATACCAGCTTTTACAAATATCAGAAAATAAATTTTTTTTTGAAATTTCTATGTATTGTTCTAATAAATTTGCATAACAGTTTTTTTTAGTTTCAGAAAATACACTTTGCTTTTAAATTTTTCGCATTTTGTTTTCGTTAAAATTTCTTATTTCTTCAAAGGGGTAAAAATTTCAAGTTATCTAGTAACTATTAATCTAAAGTGTCGATCAACAATTGTAATTAATATCTATTAGAATTATAAAACAAACCCATTTAGTAATTGCATTGTAGAATCCCCCCTACTCACCGACAGACGTCGTCGCTCTGGGAGCTCTGTCGCCGGAAGTTGCGGCAGCGGATCATCTCCTCGGTGGTCGACTGCCGCCGGAAGCCGCGGGCGATGAGGATCTCCTCGGTGGTGGACTGCCGCCGGATGGCCGGCCGCTGGTTCTGCTCGACGGTCGTTTGCGTTTGCGGGCGGGAGCAGGGACTCGGATCCCGCGACGAGCAGCAGCTGTTCGAGTCCGGCGACCGGGGCGAACGGGCAGCGGAGCTGCTCTGCCGCCGGAGCGTGTGCCGCCGCGGACTGCCGTCCCGCTCGTGCGATCGGTCCGGCGAGAGGTGGGTGCGCGAGTCCCGGCGGCCGCCGCGCGAGGCGCTGTCCGGCGACAAGGAGTCCCGCCGCGAGGTGCGCCGCTCGCAGTCGTCCGGCGGATCCGGACTGAGGGCGGGCTGCGAGCCACGCCTACTGCCACCGGGCAGGCAGCCCTCATCGAAGGCGGTCGCCTGGCGCTGCAGCCGCTGGAGGCGCGGCGCCCGCTCCGGACTGACGCCCGCCTTCGAGTCGCGCCGATTGACCCGGCCGCACTGCGTCTGCGAGTCGCGGCGACCCTTCGGTGCCGTCGGACTGGTCGCCGGCGGCGTCACCGAGCTGGTGATGATCGTCGGCGGCGGCAGTGCCTGGCAGGCGGTGTCCACCTGCTGGTGGATGGCGGCCACATTGGCCAGGTGGTGAGTGCTCGAGTGCTGCGACTGCGAATGCGAGTGCGTCGATATCGATATCGGGGGGCATGGAGTGGTCCGAGCAGGAGCCCGCTGAACTGGTCGACGGTCGCTGCTCCTGCCGGAAGTTGGGGAATTCCGGCGCGGCCAGCGAGTCCCGCTTCTTGGCCATCTGGTACTTGCCGGGCGGCGGGGGCGTGGTCACCCGCCCGGCCACGTTGCTATCGCGCCGACTGCCGGACAGGTAGCTCTCACCGGATCCGCGCCGGGAGGCCTGGATTTTTTGGTTTCGGTGATTGGCGGGATGTGTTGGTGGTTCGGAGTGGTTGGAAGTTGTGTTGGTTTGGGTTGGTTCGGTTTGGTTCACGGGCCAAAGCGATAGAGAGAGAGAACGAGCAACCGAGGGAGATAGAGAACGGGTTAGGGGTCAAGGTCGAGGCAAAGGTGGAACTAGGATCAGAACTTAAGAGCAAGGTCGCATGGCAAATGACTTCAAAATATAGTTTCAATTATTTGCAACTTCAAAAGTTCAATAACTTTTAATTTTGTTATTATTTTTAAATTATTCTAAAATGCATTCAAGGTCAATTATATTATTTTTCAATACATTAACTATGGTTCTTCACACTTAAAAATTTATCAAATATTATTATTAATACAAAAAAATCAAAATTCTTTAGTTACCATTTATTGAATATATAAATGCTTTGTATTAAGGAGCTATTTAATAAGTCATTATAAATTGAATTGTATTTGTGATATTATTACAAAAAATATTTTAATTATTTTAAGAAATTTTTTATATTTATAATTTGGTGGGCAAAACATTTGTTGATTTCGGAACTAAATCTCTTTATCCCTTCAAGTGCATTTGTCAGCGACCCGCAGAGCATGCGGTGTATTATGGATCAAGTAGCCCGATATTGGGTCCCTATCGGGGATCTACACTTCTATATTCATCTATATCTAACCCCTATACTCACGCTTTTAGAGCACTCGACGACGACGGGCACGGCGACGGAGCTGCTGGGCGGATCCTCAACTGCCCCGCTCTCGCGTCGGTTCCAGTGGCGCACGAACTCGGCGGTGTTGGAGTCCCTTCGCGAGCGCATGCTCCGGATGCCCGAGTCCGCCGAGGACTCCCTCCGCTTCCGCGGCGCAATGTAGCTGCTGCATGCCCCACCGGAGCCGGAGCCACCCGCTCCCGTGCTGGCGTCCGTGGTGGTGGAGGTGCGCCAGGGGAGACTGCGCGCCAGGTCCGCCAGCGTTTCGCGGCGATTGAGCTGCGCCTTCGAGCGGGACGCCTGCTGCAGCTGCTGTTGCTGCTGCTGCTGCTGGTGGTGCTGCTGCTGCTTGGTGCCGCCGCTCCACTCGCGCAGGATGTCCGTCAGCTGGGCCAGCGAGCTGCGCCTCCGTCGCTGCAATCCCGGCGGCGGCGAGGTGCTCGGCGGTGTGGTGATCTGTGCCGCCGAGTCCCGCCTGCCACCCAAGCGCTGCCGAATCGTGGACTCCTCCAACTGAAAGAGGAGTAGTTATTTTGGGGATCCACTAAATGATGTCATCTTTTTGCTTTAGTTTACTTAATAAATTGAGCGACCAAAACTGTGTTAAAACAAAAACAACATTTGGTTTCAATGCCAAAGAGTAAACTGTTACTGTTTGCATCGACGTGTTTTTAAATTTTAAAAGTAATTGTGAACAAGAGAGAAGCAGAGATCGAGGAGATAAGCAATTAACTTCCCTTTATCTCACTTCTCTCTCTTTTGCATGCTCAGCGTCTCTTTAAAAAGTTGTACAGTTAGGTTGCTCCAATCTCCAAAGAGAAGGTGACCGAATAAGTCGAAATTGAATTATGCACTTTAGTTGGCAAAATTTGTTTCAAAGTTACAGTTATATATTATTATTATTTTCTTATAATTTCATAAAGTTAACTTGGTGTTGAATTTCCGTTCACATAATTAATAAAAACAAATATCAATAACAAAATAAAAACAACACAGTTCCTAACAGCCCTTTGTATGTATGTAAGTCTTTACAAATCCTTTTATGTATGTACTATATGTATGTATTTTATGTACATACATATGTATATTAATATTAGTTTTTAATATGCTGGGGATTATGATGCTCGTAAAACATATGAAAACAATTTTCGTATATAAAAAATATTTCTTATGGTGGGAAACCTTGTACATTTTTACATGATATTAACAAAAAAAAACAATTGAAACTGATTTCCAAATATATATTTACGTGTATGTAACTATGTATATGGGCTCTCACAATTTTAAATCTCACTTTGCTGCATTTCTTGTGACCTTGAATTTGCATATGCGCTCCACCATATTTTTTTCTCCCTTAAGTTTATACATTTTCAAAGTATCACTCTTTACAATTATTTACAAGGGTTCTCTTTCACTCCTCTTGGGTTTTTGATCGACTCATAGAAATATTTTACTTTACCTGCTCGCGCACAAGATCGTCCCAGCCGTTGCCGCCTTGCCACACCAAACCCACTTGGTGCGACATGATGGGCAGGTTGCACACGAAGCAAATGGCTGTCATCGTCCTGCAACGATACGAATCCTTAATTAGTGAAATTACACAAAGTATATTCAAGTATAAAATACTTTTTGGTAGGAGTCATGCAGTAAAAAAAAGAGCGAGAAAAGAAAATTGAAGATGGGACAGATTCATGCGGAGAAGAAAGGCCGAATGGCAGGTGTTATTTTTGGATCGGCGTTGGCTGGCTGGAAAAGCTCTTCCTTGCGAGGAAAAGCCTAAGCCATCTGTGGTCATGCGAAAGTTGAAGGCTCAAAGTTTCCCAGAAAGCTGGTTGTGTCTGTGTGTCTGTGTTTGTGTAGGTGTGTGTGGCATGCGGTGAAAGTTGAAAGGATGTGAAAGCTCCATGGTGAGAGTCCTGGCTGTTAGTTAAGTTTTCTGTTTACTGTTTACTGTTTTCAGTTTTCTGTTTTCTGTTTACTGTTTACTGTTTTCATTTGACGTGCAATATATAGTGATATCATAGAGGAAAGCGTAGAGTAGAAAGTTCGAGAGGAAAGCTTTCTGATTTTTGAGGTCAGGTGGCGCCCCTTTTCGATTTGTACTGATTTTTGAATGGATTTTGAATGTTGGATAGCTAACTTTTTGCGTATGACCACGCAGGTGCTGCTGCACGGCTGATCCATGGACCGGTAATGCCGCAGTTTTGACATGGCGCATGTTCTGGTTTCTGTGGCAGCGCCCGCCGGTCCTCGAAACTGAGCGGTATCCTTCTGCGACAGCCGCTCCTGCGGCGATCCCTCGTTTCAGGTGGCTATATCTCCTCCGTTGCCACCGATTTCGATGTCGCCTTCGAGTTAAATGGGGTTTTCGGCTAGCCGAAAGTGCGATGATTGGGTTTGTATTTTTTTGTATTCTTTGAATATTTTGTGGGGCTGGGGCTGGGGTTGGTTTTATTTTTATTTTTGGAGTGGGGTTCTGATGGGTTTGCTACACACACAGAGACACAGAGATACACTGGAAAAAAATCGAAGAAAATAGTTGTTGGTGGTTTAAACGCATTGGATGGGGCTCAATTTTCGAAAGGCTGGCAAATCTCAGTTTACAAAAGGGCTTGGGATTTACTAGGTGGGTCAAACTACGGGTTAAGTAAGGGGGCATATAATATATAATATTTCATTATATGTATAGTAGATATTTATTTTTAATACTTAGGAAACCAAAGTTAAAAATTATATAAATATATTTTTATATAAATAAAAACAATAGAAATTGTTAACATCAAAGATAAGAAACAAGAGGTAAATTAATGTTTAAATAAATTTGAATATCGTGTTGCTATGTGGAATATTTATATAATAGCTTGCTTTCTAGTTTTAAAAAGCCTTTTAAGGCATGTTAACTCCCTTTTATTGCTCCCCCTTCACTCGTTAAGCTTCAATTTTCCTTCGCTTGTCCTTTCGTCGATTTAAAACCCGTGTATTGTACACTTTTCCTGCCTTTTTGCGTTTAATTGGTTGGATCCATCATACGCACTGTTGCCCAAAGAACCATATAAAGAAATCGAGGGGCAACGGACCGTTTCTCCGCCTCAACAATTGAGTATTTATTTTCAGAGAAATATAAGGAGGTCCAAGTAACAATACTTGATTTTTGAAGAGGCTGCCGCATTTTAAGTTGATACTTATGACCAAAAATATAAGTAGAGATTCCAATTTCGCTTGTTAATAATGCACAAATAATTCAATTTAATTTTTGACCGGCTCAAGTTTGTTTGCCTATTGAATTGCACGGCGGCAAGGTGGGAATACACTGCAGGAAAAAAGGTAGTTATATATTTTTAATTATATAAGATTTATAATCCAAATTTCAGATCTCTTGGGGTTTTAATATAAAATCATATTTAGTAGATCTTAAGAATGTTTTATAAATATAAAAAAATTCTTTTTTAAATTATGCACTTATTTAATTGCTTTTTTGCTAAAAATAGTTTCTATTTTTTCGACCACTGTACTTCGCTTTGACGTTTGTTGGCCTGAGAATTGATGGCTTTGAGCCCGGCCTGCACAAGTTCTGGCCAGCAGATGGCTGCACTTCAGCCAGATGCCAAATGGAAACAGTCGACGTTGAATTCCAGATGAATTAATGCTCGAAGGCGGTTTCGTCGAGGCAATCAAAATGGCGTATCAACTTATTTGGCCGCAAGTTTATGGCCATAAACTTAATAACTGCCAGACGGCAGGATCTCCCCTTCTACATGTGAGTGGTCTGTGTGTGTGTGTGTGTGAGGGAGTATACAAGGACATAGACACCGCACACCGGAAGTGGTCGAGTGTGTGGCTGCTCCATAAAAGTCGAGACTCAAGTTTCCCGCCAGTCAATGAAACACTTGGCCAAAGTAGTTGCAAGCACCAAAGTTTCCCACTTTCCACTTTCCGCTTTTCCAGCTGCCTGCTCTTCGGTGATGTGAAATGCTCGGTGGGAAAGCAATTTTGAACCCAATAAGTACACACGTTTCGATTGAGGCCCTGCAATTTGTACGTTTCACTGAGGAGATGAGGTTTTATTTTCCCCAATTTTCTAGCACTGCCGACTTGTAATTAAGCTTTCTGTTTGAACTCCCTTATGATGAAATTCTTTTGGCTTTCAAACTTTGAGCCTCAATTGTCTGGCTCTTGCTTTAATTTTGTAATAAATATTTGAGTTCGTAGGTTTTGTTTGTCAATGTTTGATTTTAGATTTAATTGCTTTGATCTGCATCCTTGGTTTCAAATATTTATTTATGTTGCATATGAACGCTATATTGAATTGATGTTTAAATTATATTGGAATTTATTTATAATGTGTTTAAATTTCAATGAGACTTTTAATGTTGTTTGCAATACTTAGATTTAAATCAAACGTTGTAAAGCAGACATTTTTTTTCTTCTTTGTTATAAGAGTTATTTATTTAAGAATTCTTTCGTTTAATGTTTTTTGTCTGTGCATTGGTGGGGCATTTTGTCTGCTTCAGTTTTGGGTTTCTTATTTTTGAACTTGGGGAAAAGTTCGGAAAAGCAGCAGAAAAGTCAGTGCTTAATCAATTTCAAGTGCACAAGAGCAGCCAGAAAACCTGCAGGCTGCGTGGCCATATTATCCACCATCTGGAGGATCTGCAGGATAATGGGGAATTGGGGGATGGGGGGAATCGTGGACTCGAGGATGGAGACTCGAGGATAAAGGATGGCCACCTGGCAGCAGGCTCAAGTGGGCGACTGGTTGATTGACAGCTGTCAATTTGTGTTGCCTGCGAAGTGTGTGCCACGAACAATTTTCAACTCAATTTTCCCACTTTTTGCAGCAGTGTCCTTCGGTCCGGTTTGCGGCTAAGCCGTACCTGATGAGCGTGGACACGGACGGAGCATCCGAGGTCACGGGCTCGCCAATCGGCAGAAAAGCGGAAAGCTGCCAAGCTGGCAAAGTTGCAAGGTGGCAAAAGGTGGCAAAAGGTGGCAAAAGGTGGCAAAAGGTGGCAAGGTGGAAATTGGAAGGCTGCGCTGGTTGCTCCTTCGTTTCCGATTCCAATCAGCGAGTTGCCCAACACTGGAACCTTTGGTTCCAAAAAAAAAAAAGGAAGAAAATGAAAACGCATCCCAACAGCTGTAGCTTTCCGCAAACGCAGAAGTAACCGAATGCAATTTTCTGCAAGCTAGGAAAGTTTCGCAGGTGGAAAACTCCTTTAAAACTCACTGAACACTGCGGGCTAATTAAAAGTTTATGCCAAGGTTCCAAATTTAATCCACAAAGCAAATGTTTAGACTGTTAATACTGGTAGTTATAAAAACACAAGTTTTTTGGGAAATAATTCCTTCTTGTAGAAAACTTCTTTCATATTTTTAAAACCATAAAATTAAAGTCTGTTTTGAGTGGTGATTTTCTTTAAAGTTCTAAGAAATTCTATAAAATAGCAGCAAAAATGATTATTGCTTCTAAAAATACAATTTTATTTGATGTCCAATTTGATTTTTATGTGGTACATCCATAGTACAACAGCATTTTGCAATAGTTATTATTTATGCACAAATTTTAATACTTTTTGTAGTCTTAGAATTTTTCAAACCCACAGATGTTTCCTCCCCAAAACTGCTGAGCAACTTCTGTGGGATTTGATGAACCTAATCCCCTGACTTCATTAATCTGTATTATATTTGAGAACTCATTTATCTCCACTCCTGCGGCAATTTTCCCCGCCTCGTTTTCCCCCCATTTCCACTTTGTTCCACCGCTAAATGAAACAATTTAGTTAAATGGTGAACATTTTACGTTTGCCATGGGTTGTGGTTCTATTCAGTTGTTACTTTTGTCCTTTCTTATTTTTTTATTTCTGCGTTTTTTTGTGAACTGTTGTCCTGGCAATAAAATGCAATTCGTACGAATGGGAGAAAGGTGAGCATTTTGGACGTGGCACCTGGCGGACACTGTCCGTCTTTCTTTTGATTCGCAGTTTTCTAAGTGACTTTTCGTGTCCTGGTTTTGGATGGTTTTCTGGGTGGTTTTCTGGGTGGTTTTCTGGGTGGTTTTCTGGGTGGTTTTTGGTGTACTGCCGTCTGCTATTTAGTTAATTTTAGAGCGTCTGTCGGCCAGCCCCCTGAAATATTACTTGGGCTCTTTGCCAACAGTTTCCTTTTGATGTAATTGCGAGGGGGGTGGTTGTCCAGCATCCTGGCGGTTCGGTGGTTGGGTGGTTGGGTGGTTGATGTTGCTGTTCCTCAAAGGACGAGCAGGTGGGTGCGGCTATTCATTGATTAACTGCCAGGACTCACTGGAGACACGTGAAAAGTGGGGACGCTCTAGCTTGACGGCTCTTGGGGCCATTTTCATTTAACATTTTCATTTTCATTTTCATTTTCGTCTTCGTTTAAGGTTTTTTACTTGTTTTTTTTTTCTGTCAGCCGTTGTTGTTGTCATCTTGGGTTTCGTTTTTGGCATTCAAAGTTGAAATACCTGAAAATGCTTGGTAAATTAGATCAAAGGACCAAAAAGTACGTGTAGGCATTTAAGTCCTAACCTGTACATATATATATATATATCTTTATATATATATACTGTAAACGCTCCTGAAATTTAAATACGCGTTTTGTGTCCCCAACTTTTGACACAATTTAAAACAATTTTATTACAGCATTTCTTTTCAGAGCATAACAATTTAGGAAAAGCTTTTGAAATTAAACAAATAATTTTGTGATTGTTTTATTTTGTTTATTATTGGCTTTGTTTTTTTTTATGCTCGTGTTAAATAAAAGGTTTTTGTTTGTGTTAAATTATGCGTATTGTTCCACTGCCTTTGTTTGGTTTTCATTTATCAAGTGCTCACTGTTCAAATATATATATGCACTAAGTACTTGAAAAGTAGGATTAAGTAATTTGCGCGTGCCACTTTCAATTTCTCGCAGGAAACGTTTGGGGAAAGTTGGAAAAATGCTTTTCCTCCTGCTCCACCTCCCACTTCTTCTCCTTTTCCCCCTCTGCCGTTTTTCCTCTTTCTTTTCCCTTTTCCCCCGTTTTCCCCCCGGCTTTTCCTCTTCTCCGGTTGCCTTTGTAAAAGGCTTTTCGGCTTAGAAGCCCGGCCAGCCATTTGAATAAATAAATAATTAAAGCGACTTTTACGGGGGCCACTCGCACATACAATATATCATTTGCGATATTGAACCGTCACTGACCCGCGTCATAGTGTTTGTAATAGTGAACTAGTACACACCCACACACACACAAAAACACATATTAACACCAACTCGTGCTGAGCATAATTTCCGCTGACAAAGTTGATAAAAAAGTTGTAGCACACTTTTCAGGCGACCGCGGCGAACATTATGCAAATCGGGTGAAAAGGCGCTGGCAAAACACTTAAGCCGTTTTGTCCAACTGGCTAACACTCACACAAACACACACACACATACACATATAGCTACACACTCATACACTTAGCCCAGCGAGGGGCATTGTTGCTGGGAAATCTAATTTCCTTGGCCGACGCCATG